ATGAGTCGATGCAATCAACTAGTTTTCCTTATATAGAAAACTTTGAATCAGAGTGACTGTATGATCTGGTTGAATTGTTTCTGTAAAGTGCCTTGAGATGACATGTGTTGTGAATTGGCACTATATAAATAAACTGAATTGAATTGAATTTGATGGCAATTAAGCTATAAATTGTTTCCATTTTCTTTTTTTTCCAGCAACTTTTGGCTGTCTTGTTGTCTGTATTTCATTTAGTGACTTTTGCTTTTACATGTTTCTTATATTTAGACAGACAGAAAAAAATGAATATTAGTATACTTAATTAGCCCAACACAACTGAAATAAAGTAGTCCTACAAATAGAATAGAACTCAACTTTATTGTCATTACACTGTCACAAAGCAACAAAATGAAATGTATTTTTCATGTTCCCTTCAGATGTATACACTAGCTATTTCATATAAAAGAAGCTATGCCATCTTAATACACAACATAGAACTATTGTTTATAAAATGATTGAGCAATAAATTGTATTTGTAAGTCAGGTTATCCTACATTTTTGTTTGATGAATGCCTTTCCACTGATCAAGTAACAGTAAAAAGAAAGCAGTACAGTCTTTCAACTGAACTGCATAAAAAAGTAGTGGCTCAAGCATTAACTAATTATGCATTTCAAGAAAATTTGACTTAAGTGGCTACTAATTGTCTTCTCACCTTCTTATTGTAGTTTTGCTGTCTGAAACTTTGTTATCGTCTCCTCAGACATTTTTTAGAGGTCACAGCGAAAATAGAATTTCGTGTTTTATCCCAGATGCTATGATTGATGAATAGTGTTGTGATTATCAGGTTGTCATTTCATTACAGCCACAACATTCCTCCTTTTGTCACTCTCATGGAGCTTTGCTTTTGATTTAATTGAAGGAAAGGTCAAGTTTCCACAAGCAGTGATTCACCAGCATTCAGCTTCACCACTTGGCTGAGGTCTGGCAAGATTAATTCTTTGTGTCTTGCCATCTCTCTATGAGCCAGGTTCATATTTCCTACAATGGATCCAAGCAAACAGAAGAAAAGTGTGTGCTTTTCTTTAAAAGACATTGGCGCAACCGTTTTAACAGGGCGGCTGTGTTTGAATTAGATGTTCTAACCTCCTGCTTGCTAAATGGATTTCTAAAGTGGCTGTAGTTGGAGGCTTTCAATCGGATGCAACCTTGAGTCCTTTTTTATGTGAGCTCTGTAGGATTTAAGTGCCGGTATAACATGAGCACGACTGAATGCATGCTCCTCATTTTTTGAAATTGAAAAATCTCCAAAGGCTCTCCCCTTTGTGCAGGCAATTAATGGAATGCTGGCAGCGAGGTTCAGGTGCTTAAAAGTTGTTTTTTTTTTTTTTTTTTTGCATTCAATCTTTTTTTAATGAATAATAAAAGATAATCATTGTAGTGGGGAGGTGGAATGGGGGACAGCGTAATGCTGTAGGCTTCCTCTTTATGCACAATGATGTATAATGCATGCTTTGAAATGAAACGGCAGCGGCCTTCAAACTATTCCATCTCCCAACCTTAGTGTATTTGTTTTGCCTGGCATAGTGATGCTTTTGCATAACAATGGTGAGCTTGCCCATTAAAAACGCTTGCTTATTAATTTGATCTTTACATTTTTAAAGTTTGTCCATCAGGCCGCCAAGCAACAGGTCTCCGAGCTGCAGCTTGGTCTAAGTAATTAGAAACTTAGATAATTGCCTCTCTGAAGGGCTGAGCTGATGCTTTTTTATTTTCGTTTTCTACATTTAAATTGTTCAGTTTTATGTTTTAATCAGATTAATACAGAAATAATTCATACATAAATAAATTGTGCACTTTATGAGGAAATGTTTGATTTATTTGCTTGATGATAAGACATTAAATCAAAGAATGTATGATATTTGTAAATGGATTGATTTAAAGTTTTTATCGGAAGTCGCTGATGGTTAAAAAATGTAGAATTATCATAGTTACTTTATGCTGCAGATTTTTATTATTTCACCTTGTGCAGATTTAATAGAGATGTCACTACCTATTTTGTGCTTTCAGGCAATAATGTTTAATATCAACATCGTTCTGCAGACTATGTAGCTGTTAATTTAAATTTATGGGCTGTTGCATTGAGCGAAGCTGACAAATTATGCACAACAAATCATGTTCTGTGATCTGTTAAAGAACTACTGATTGGTGTCACATTTTTGTCATTATATGGCCACTATAGCCTCAGGCCCTGCTTTAAATTAAACGATGTAGCAAATATTCTTATTCCAAAAAAATTGTTACACTTTTTTTTTTTTTCACAATCTTGGAACACTTGTAAAAGCTTTAGCATTTTTCACCCCCGCAGTCTCTTTCACTTTGACTGTGCTTGACAATGGAGGGAAACATACAAACACGTCTCGGTAAACACGAGTGATGTGGTTCCAGAGTTTAAAAGCTTCACATAACACTGGCAGACGCAACTTGGGGCTGTTTGTGTGATGGAGAGGAAAACTTGTTTAGAAACTGACAGCACTGTGTGTTAGACAGTAAAAAAAATAATAAAATAAAACTGTGTCTGTGTGCTCATGTTGCTTTTGGCAAGTTGTTTGTGTGTGTGTGTGTGTGTGTGTGTGTGTGTGTGTGTGTGTGTGTGTGCGTGTGTGTGTGTTTTTGCTTTCTGCGTGGTTATCTTTTGAGTTACTTGGTTTGGAGCTGATGTCCACCTTCGGGGATGCACAGAGCATGCATTTCTGAGTATTTTCACCTGAGGCTTTACTTGTTAGAGTCTGTGTATAAATGTATATACATTATTTATACAAATTCAGAGCGAGTGAAAGCAGGTTTAACACATTTACAGACAGGAGGCCAACCACTGCAAGCAAAGCTCCCAGTATAAGTTGCAATGCCATGCGTCGGGAATCGAGCTGGCTTTTTGCCTGTCTGTGACCGGCATTCTTATTCCTGCATGTCAGCACTGCTAACACTATCTGCTTACTTGCTTTGGAATTTCAATGATTTTCTCAAATCGTTTACATGTTATTTTTGTGTAGTCCTTTTTAAGAAACCAACAAATTGGATGAAAACTGAGGTAAATTATTAATTTTGCAACAGTTAATAAAACTTACATTTCTTCTTAAGTTTAAAAGGCATGTTTTTATTTTACCTAAAATATGAGATGAGAGGAAGGTTAGAAAGTTATAGAGGCTGAAGTATGCTTTTTAGAATCTTAGTATCTTTGTTGATTTCATATTTTGTGTCATATTTTAAATATAAAATAACGTGTTCATAAGGTGTTCATGCTTAGGACATACTACCTCAACTGTGATAAAAAAATAAAAAACATTTATAAAAGATAAAGCCCTGCTGATTATTTGGAAAAGATGTGATTGAATAAATGTGTCCCTTTTCCTGACACTAATATAACATTTGTGAAATTATAAGCTTAGAATTGATAAACTTAAATTTAAAGCGAGAACGGTTAATCCAATTTTCCCTCTATCTTTTTTTCCAGAATTAAAGCATCTAACTCAGGAATCTAAAGATATTATAAGTGGATTCACCCACTTTGCAATAAATTAACATTATAATTCAAATACTTAAATAATTGTAAGTATTTTGTATTTAAGAGATAGAGTCCAATATCATAACTTTGGCCTGCAAAAATGTTCATAACACTGAAACTTTGTCAAAAATGTTCTGTCTTACATTACAACCAGAAACTGTGGTGGATTATCTCTGAATGGCAAACAATATGTTTACACAAAGTGGTGCGTTATTGTAAATTTGAAAGAAAAGGAAACATATTTTCGGAAGTTTTTAAAAGTAAAAATCTGAACAGGCTTTTGAATAATTTCCGACCATTTAATACTTTGTAAATATCTTTTCTGCATGTTTTAGGAAATGTCTCTATCACCTTTATATATCTAGAGATTTCAGTCTTTTAGCAGCATAGCCTATTCTGATTAGATAGACAGGATTTATTAACGTCAACTTTTAAGTCTTGCTATGGACTTTCAATAAAACTAATGTTGGATTTGACAGTGCCACTCAAATAAATACATTTTATTAAATCTAAAACCATGGGATCTCTAATACAAACTGAAGAACAGAAGCAACGAAAACAGGGAACCAACAACAAGTGCCGGGATTTAGTTTTCCCTTTAATGTTTAAATCAGGTTTTGGGTCTGGGAATGTTTACATATTTACCCCAAAAGAAATAAAATATATATATATACTGTTTAAAAAATAGTTGCACTACTTTGTAAAGAGGTCTGTAAAGAAGGAGGTGCTTTGATGAATAGACGAATAAAAAGATGCAACCTGTTCTAAAATAATCCGAACCATTGATCTTCAACTTGTAACTCTGGCTGTGTGTTTCATCTATCCCTCTTTCCATCAGTTTTGACAAGTTCCCTTTCACTACTGTTGCATTGCTACAGCAGTGGGTGGTTGTGTATTAAGGAAAATACCTTTTTTTTTTTTATTAATCTTATTCAGTAATACAAAACAAAGGATTCTGAGAAAAAATGCACAACACTCTTTTCAAACTTGACTTTTTTTAATAGAGACATTTTAAAAATGCACATTCTACTTGAGTTCTATAATAGTGTACCTTCAAAATGCAGAAAGTACGAGGGGTATTATATCAATTGCAAGGCACTATATTAGAAGATAGTCTTCAGTCAGAGGCTTTTCTAGATCTGCTGCAAGACAGACAGCTGCAGAAGATCCTTCCTGCCAACAGCTATCAACATCTACAAAACCTGTGTGAAAAAGAAACCCTATAAGTTTCTACAACATTGAATTTATCCTGTGATTAATAAAGCATTTTTTTTTACTGAAATAAATAAAAAAAGATTGAGATTTAAGCTGCTACAATGAACTAAAGGTGACTGCATATGTTTGCTCTTATTTAATGTCTATTTTAAAATTAAACCAACTGTTCATTTTTTTTATTATAAATTCTGGTTTGATAAAGTTCTGGTACTGAACAGTTGCCTCTTCTCACCCTGCACCCAGGAGCCCCCACCTGTAGAAGTGGATACTTTGCCAGCTGGATGCAGTCTTCATGTTCCCATGGACGTTGAGTTTGCAGCTTCCTGTTTTCCTCGCTTTCCCCCACCATGAATAAATATGTGTTTGTTACAGTTACCTCTGTTTTTGTGGTAAAGAATGGAGGAAGTACTCACTCTAACTTTAACATCAACTTTGCAATGTACTGGATGATATGTACGTGTAACACCTCAAATGTAGCCTATGTGTAATATAGTGTTTTTTCCCTATGCAGACAATATATTTAGTAAGAAAATAAAGCTTAGTTTAAGATCCTCTTGTTTCCTTGCTATACAGTTACCATATATTGTATTTATCTGGCCCATTCTCACTTTGAGTTGACAATATTTCTCTGATAATTTTTAACTCGAACTTTAACCATTAACTAAAACACCAAATGTGACAGAATCTGAACTGGAAGTTGGAGTCTGCATTTCTTTGTACTGATTCAGTTAGATTATTAGGAATGTGATGCATTAAACTTGGTTGTTTTTCCTAATAAAAGATGTAGTTGAGGGCTTGTTCCTGCACATTATGGATATTTTGTTCATTTAAATGTTTTATAGTTTAGCATTTTTAATACTAAAAAGCAAAATAAATCAGTTTAATAAGTAATATAATAATTTGTTAAACAATGACATAATCTGCCTCAGAGAAAGATATATCAAAACCAAGATGAAATGAATACATTCAGTTTCTCAGCAGCAGTTTAAAGTTGTACAGTAGCTGGGAAAAGAAGTTTTACTGTGTTCTGAAGTGTTTTTGTGTGTGCACACGGTCTATCTGGCACATAGCCTAAGTATAGATTGTTCACAAGCAAACAGCTGGACTGCTTTCCACGGCTTTTAATGTATAACTCACTATACTAATTTCTTATTCGAAAGCTTTCATTTAACTATATCTAAAAAGAAAAAGAAAAACAAGACTCCAATGGGTTAAAGCAGGATGTTTTCCAACAATGCAGAAAGAGGAGAGCTTTATAATGTCCTTTGTGTTTCCTGCTTGTGGAATGAAGTTTCTCTACACCAAAAGAAGTTCACAGTATCAGAATAAGTGTATCTTATACTTTTAAATTGCTGATTAAAAGATCAGAATCAAATTATTTGGAATAACTCTGAATGAAAGATCAAGTATTAAAATTCTTGCAGAAAAGAAGCATCACTGTTATTATGGGTCAGTTAATGAAATAAAAGATAATTTCAGGATCTCTGCAACCATATTGGAGCAAAACATGAATATGGCATTTGGTGAAGGATCTAATTCTAAACTTCTGAATGCAGTTAAAGCGAAGACTTTGATTCTTCAAGAAATAGTGAAAGTTATTTAGTCTGACACCTGAAGACAATTTCTGCTGTAAAAATAAAACTGGTGATTAACCATGGATCTGATTCATGCACCTTAGAAGTTACACTTTCTTTGGTGTTTTGCTATTTATCTAATGAATTGTCTTTTATTTTTCTTAAATGTCTTTTAAATTTCTTTTATAATGTCATTCATTTACAATGTTAACATATTATTGTATTTATGTCTGTGAAAATAGGATTTATGAACTTTTATTAATTTATGTATGAACTTATTTTTAGGGTACATAAGAGATGAAATCTTCCAGGAAAAAAACAAAACAAAAGTAATGCACTCAGCTTCCATGGCCTCCGAGCCCGTTCACCTTACAAGACTGCAGTAGAAAATTCATGTGGAAGCTTGTTGGAATTAAAAGGAAAAGCCAATAAAATATGAGAAGGATTTGTTTTAAGGTAAAACCAAACTGTGGTTGTCATGACACACATCATGTTTAGAGACAAAGTGGCTCTCTATACAACCCAAAATGCACCAACTGTAACGCCTTGAGGGAACATTATAAAATAGGCCGTCCTTCAACATACCATAATGGAAGAATTTATACAACTGAAGGAGAGTTGAACAAAGAAATATAAAGGGAAATTGTTGATGAGACATTGAGCATTAAGTGAAGGCATTTTTTCCATTTCTAGAAAATTACCCCAAAGACCCAGCCATTGGAATTCTGTATTGGTTTTAGAGAAGGACAAAGTTAACAGAGTGACTTGTCTGATAACTTGACCTTTATTTACCTTTAATTTCCAAAAGATTTAAGACTCCGCTTAACACGTGATAAACTATCATTATCAAACGGGCTTTTCTGCTGATTACTGGATATTTCTTTATAAGTAAACTTAATAGTCTTCGAGTTACCGACATCTGGGAAAGATTTCACGCCATTGGTCTCAGAAATACACCAACACGTTTAGTTCTTATTTCCATTGCTTTGCATCAGTTTTGTGCAGATTAATGGTTTTCCATTAAAGAGGAAATAAGCAGTATTTGGTATAAGAGCAAATCAGACAGAAAAAAAGTTGATTTTCAAATTTAGTAAGACTTGCGACACAATTTTTTAAACCCCTGCAATACTCGATGTACAGACCTCGATGGACTTTTAAAGAAGTCTACAATAAAAAGTTATTTTTGTGTCTGGAAACCACTCATGGAAACAAAACAGAGAGCATGCTACAGTAAACAAATTTATTTTGGCGTGGACACCTCACGTCATGTAACACAAAGATGGAGACCCAGTGACGCAATAAATTATCTTCAATAGTAAGCGTAACTAGTGACATACTGTACATCCAAAAATCAAAAAAATTGTAAATAAAAACAAAAAAAACAAAACAAAAGGAGGGATTTACAAATGAAATGCTGAGAGGAAAACACAATCGTTAGACAGCATCGCTGATAAGAAATTTCAACTGAGTGATTCCTCTTTGATTTTAGTGTCTCACGACATAATTTAAGTACTGTTATAGAGAAATAAAAAAAAAAAGTAAACACTGTACACAAACCAGAGAAAACACAGGAGAAATGCTTTTCTTCATTTTGATGACTTCATTTTCTTAGGAAATCATTGCTTTGCAAATTAAGCTTCATTACAGATCTCTCCCATGTGACAACATGAATGTAAACACCTGTTTAATTATTCTTTTTTTTATTTTCTTACAACATTAATACTTTATATATATATTTATATATTTATACATTTTCATTCACATCTGCACGGTTAGCTAGCATGGTAATGAAATAAGGCAGGACCAACATAACTGTGTTATTACACTTTTTTTTCTTTTCCGTCTGTAACACTGATTATTAAGGTCTTAGTCATTTCCTTCCCCTCTTCTACAGCAGGCTTTGGTCTTTTCAGGGGAAGGTGGGATCAATCCGTATCCTTCTCTGCAATAATGACTTGTTTAGTGTCAGGTTTGGTGAAATAATGAAAAAAAATGGTTTGAACTGCAGGAGGAAAATTGGGCTATGAATTTTCTTTTCTAACACTGGCCTTATTGAGGTAAATAGCAAAAAGATGATTCTTATAATGTGGTATAAAATGGAGGGGAGGAGGAGGACCATGATAGCAAGTGATTTCTGATACAAGACAAAAGAGCATTTCCTCCTTTAGTTTTTTCTTCTTTATTTGTCCTACTTCCTCAGTTGGTTTGAGCTACTCTTGCAGGCATTATGTGGGAAATTAGAAAATAGAGTCACTTGCCTGGTTGGCTGCATGTCCGTTTGACTTTTCAGTACCGACAACAGCGGAAGCCCAGTTTCAGTGAGAGAACAAGCAAGAGGATCATTGCCCTGTTGCTACAAAGCTTACTGATAGATGGGCAGTGTTATGTTATTTAACTCTGTGCTCTGGATGAATCCACCTTTTTTTTATTTTCTGAAGGTTTTATTTTGTAACTCTCCTGACTCATGGCCTTGCTCCAGCTGAAATGACCACATAGTGTCAAACGTAGAAGTTACTTCAAGTGTTTTTCTTTCTTGTTTGCCCTTCAAAATGGTCTTTTTCTGCAGTTCAGTTGTGGAGAACAGTCATCTTGCAGTCTTTTTTAATTTGAATTTTTACAGTAAAGGAATCTTAATGCAGTTTGTCGAATGCACATGATGACTCTTTGAATGTTCAAGTTCATAATGAGCTCAGTATAAATAAGAGTTTCTGCACTTTAAGCTACCCGCCTTTACCATCTTTGTGGTCAAGCTGGAGGTTTGGAAATAGAAAAAAAGACGATGATGAGTTTTTACAAATGTCCTTGAATTCGCCGTGTGAATCGGGACCGTCCAGTCATTAAGCTCTTTTTGCGTGCAGCATTTCGATGAGAAGGTTGTTGCAGGGCACATCGCCATTCAGGTGTTTGTAATAAAGATACTCCTCGGCCTGCAGGCTGATGGCTCGGATCTCCGGCAGCCGAAGGAGCAGCTGGCCAAACTTGTCTGTCTGCTGGGGGTAGTTGCACATGACGTAGTCCAGCAGTGCTGCGTTGACCTGCTCCTGGACGCTCTCCACCAGGTGGAAGTTCTCCAAGTTCTTCACATCTGCAGAAAAAAAAAAAATGAAGAGGTTACAGCAGCAGAAGGATTGGAACTTAAATTCTGTAGTTGAGCTTACACAATGCAAAATCTTTTCTCACAACATTTGAAATTATTATTTATTTTTTCCTCAGTGTCTCAGTTTTGAAGCAACACAATTTTTAGTTTTTCATGCAAAAAGCGAGCTGATTTGGCCATCCTTTACCATCATTCATAACATGTACTTAAGGTGTTAAAAATATTCTACAGAGAAAAGAGGAACTCTTTCAAGAAGCTGATTAATCCTCTTCAGCAGATTTAGGGTTTATAAGCATTTTTGACTTTATTTATACCCTATGTTTCATATATACTTTTATAATTTAGATGTTTAGAAATAGCATCTACACTAACCTTAAAAACAAACATGAAGTATAGATAATTAATTGCAATTCAAGAATAATTAGGTATCTAATTTTATATTTTGCAGATTCATTTTTTATGCGATATTGCATTTCAAAAACACTACTTTTCTTTTATTATTCGAACAGGTTAGTAATAAATAATATATAAAAAAAATTTATTGTTTTTCATTAAACTACGACTATTATTCTTGTTATGATAGTAAAACCTTCTTAATTGAAAAATATCCCAGCTTTGCCATTTTTCATGTTATTCACAAAACCGAACTTGGTTAACTTGGCCAACAGAAACAAAGGTTAACGAGGTGAAGTAGTATCAAGCCTATTATCTAGCAGTATCTTTAGTTTTGTCAGGGAGATCAATATATGTGTGGAGTTCTTACTGACACTTTAAGGTTTGAGTCCTTTAATTGTGGCTCATGTGTTGCATGATGAAATCTTCCTATTTTCTGTTTTCCTCTGAAATGCCTCTTGGGAAGATTGTGTAGAAGGAATCAGGTAAAAGCAAGAATGTTCTTCGGAGAGATGAATTCCCAGGAGACAATAAATTATGTAGGGCAGAAGTATAGTCATCCAGCAGTTGCTTCATAAACCTCAGAGTCTGTTTTACATTTTAACAGGGCATAAAGTACTGTGAATATTCAGAAGAAGCAGGTAAGTGTTTTTTTTTTTTAAAGTTGGTATCGGGAAAATAATCATAACATTAACTTCACTTTGTTAGGACTTCTACTTTTACTGCTAATTGCTTTTGCAAAATACATGGTGTGTATTTGGTTAATCCCCACCTTTCTGCACAGCTATAAGCACTTTTTCCTAACAATAATAAGCTCACTGGGGGATTTATGAGATTATTGCAAGACAAGTCAAAAATGTGCTAAATGGATAATGGCAAACCTGAGTGCTTTATGCGCTTGTCATGATTATGAAGCGTGGGACTGCAGAATATTTAAACAGTTCAGAGCTTTGCGCTTGTGTGTCTGATCTTTTATTAATTTTATGACCCCAGGATGAGGCTGATCACAGTGGGCTACTTTGAAGTGACCAAGTTACCATGTAGACTTTGCATTTCTGGACAAAGTCTTGCACGCACTATAAGGCAATCTTTAAATCGTCTTTTCTAATTAGGTGACAGACACTAATCTGTGGGAATAAAAATGTTATTACTTTTTGCTCCACACAATACCAACCTCCAACAAACACATCCTCCCTCACCAACTCTCTCTCTCACACACAACACACACACACACACACACAACACATCCACCCACCAA